GTTGGGTGTGGGTGCGATTTGACGAAGTTGCGGGCAGCCCCTAGCTGCCGTTTTCACGGTTTTCCAAAAGGGTCAAGCCGATAGGGGAAAAATTTGAACCGAAAACTTGATACTAATTTAATGAATGCAAATCACTACTGGTGGGCCCCTCGGGTCAAGCAGGCCCGGGGTGGGCCCGGTGGGCCGCCAGCTCCGCACGGCTGTGTGGCGGGGAGGCCTACCCGACGCGCTGCGGGCGCTGACGCAGTGGCGCATGGGCCGAGAGGCGCCTGGGCAGCTCAGGCGTCGCTTGTGGGAACGGCTAGTATTATTGTTCACGCGTAGATGGCGTTTATTCAGAATGACATCATGCTATTTTATCTATTGGCAGGATTGCACGTTTTTCACACGCAAGGAGATCCTTCGGTAAGCGCAATGCCAACGTGGACCTGTTTAATTGGGATGAGCCGCGGAAATGGTTAACGCCCATCGACTCTGTCGACAGCGTCCACAAGAAGTTCAGGGGGCTGCAGCCCGACGTGGTCCCACGCACCATGACCCGGGAGGACGCGGTGAACGTCAGGGTGCCGAGGGAAATCCTCGAGAAGCTCCCGGAGTTGAGGGTGAGTCGTCGATACCCCGCGCCCGCGCGGCCGGGGACTCTACCACAGGCTGGCGCGTCGAATGGGTTGCCCACCTACCCGGCGCTCCTCTCCGCACGGCCTGACCGATTGTGTGGCTTGGGCTTTCCCTGCAGGAGAATCCTTTCAAGACGCGGATCTGCGAGGTGTTCTCCTCCGACGACAAGGGTAACTTGTCTTTCGAGGATTTCCTCGACATGTTGTCCATCCTGAGCGAGCACGCCCCTCGGGACATCAAGGTCTACTACGCGTTTAAAATCTACGGTAAGTGCGACTTGGGGATTTACAATTTACGCGGTGTGTGGTTTGTGGGAAAAGCCCCATCTTTATGCTTACTTGTGCTTGCCCAGATTTCGACAACGACCAGTTCCTGGGCCCGTCAGATCTGCAGCAGACCCTGCAGTTGCTGACGAGGTCCCAGCTTCTCCCGGAGGAGATGAGCCAGGTGTGCGAGAAAGTGGTGGACGAGTGCGACGTGGACGCGGACGGCAAGCTGTCCTACATGGAGTTCGAGCACGTCATCACTCGGGCCCCGGACTTCCTCTCCACGTTCCACATCAGGATTTAAACCGAGTTAACTAAACCACTGTGACTGGTGTTATTTGTGTAAT